TTAGAATAAATGTGTTTTTTTTAAAAAATAATAAGTGTGTTTTTAAAAACACATTTTGCAATTATACATATATGCTCACGAATGTTTGAATTTTATTGTAAAACATGCAAGTCTTTCATAAATGAGCCCTCAGAAGTAAACCATTGTTAGATGTTTGGAATGCAGCCTCCAAGTTTTTTCTATGGGTGTTTTAAAATAATTTTTCTTACACGATTGGGCTCTTGAACACATTTTAATGAATTAAAGTAGGCTTTGTCAGTGTTGCAGACACACACACTGTCTATTGCTGAACTATTTGAAAGTGAATTTTAGTCTTCATTAACAGTTTGTTTCTAAATATTTCAGTATCTACCTCCAAACAAGAATATTCTTTTACATAATCACAGTAGCATTTTCACATCTAAAAAAAATTCAGGGGCTGGGGATGTAGCTCAGTGGTAGAGTACTTTCCTAATGTGAATGACGCCCTGGGTTTAATCCCCAGTGCTGCAAAAAATAAATAAGTGAAAAAATTGAGTATCTAGATTTCAGTTTTCCCAGTTACCGCCCCCCACCACCCAAATCTCTTACGGCATTTTTAAAAGTCCAGGTTTACACATTTTTATTTGGTTTTCATTCTCTAGTCCCTTSTAATTTGTTTTTTGCTTGYTTGTTTTCATGGCATTGACTTTTTGTTGTTTTTAAAGAGCTTGTTCTTTTCATTTTCTTCAAGAGACCAGTTACCTTATACAATGAACCATACCTGGATATTACTGAGTTTCCTCTTTAGTAAATTCAAAATACCTTAAAATTGMAGGATAAATATTTTTTTCAAATACATGGAACTTTAGCCAAAGTAGATATGTGCTGGGCTAAAAAGGAGGGAAAAAAAGAAAAAGAAAAAAAAAAACCCTCAAATGGTCTATTGTAGTAGTCTCAGCACCAGGGGACATGTGGCAATGTCTGAAGACATTCATTTTGTCTTGATGGTGGGGGAGTGGTTATTTCTGGCTTCTTGTGGTTAGAGACCAGAGCTGCTAACCATCTTACGATGCCAGGACAGCTCCCAACAGGAAGAATTATCCAGCCCACAATGTTAATAGTGCAGGGGTTGCAACACTCTGCTCCATGTGATGGCATCCTTCAAACCCCAGCATCTACTGCTCCCCCACCTGGCCTGGTTACCCTCATACCTGACACCCAATTCAGTTTGCTTGAGGGGGTTTTTGTTTTGTTTTTTGCTGGCCCTTCTGCCACCAACCCAGTTTAGAAGCTCCATGGATACCCAGCACCTAGACCAGTGCCTGCGATAGGTACCTAATAAGCATCTGTTGAAGGAGCTAGTGCCCAAGTCACTCAGCATTCCCCACCCAGCCCATTCCTGCCAAGTCCTGCCTGTTCTCCCCCCCACCCCCACCCCCCAGCTCTTTCCCTCCTTCCTTCTGTAGTTTCAGAGCAGTTGCCCTGGGCCAACTCTCATTTTCAGTATTTCTGGCTTGGAATATTGTAACATTCTTACTACAAGATCCTAGTCCCCAGTGTGAGAGATGGCTACCTCCCATCCCCCTTGCTCCTGGAATAGAAAGCTTGAACTCTGCCTGGTGCACAGGCTCAGCCGACCCTGTCTGCTTCCCCTCCTGAATCAGGATGAGAAGCAACAGAAGACGTCACTGTCTAACTTGAGCAGGAAAGGACTACCCTGGAAGGATGAAAAAGGATGCTGTTGTCCCTCATGGGACAGACCAGAGGCTGGAGACCAGAGTGAGCACAGCATTGTTGGTTTTTTTTTTTTTTGTTGTTGTTGTTGTTTTTTTTTCCTTCCCACTGCTATGGCAGGGCCTGGACTGGGCATTGCTGCCTCTGCTTTCATGATGACCAAGTTAACTCCCTGGGTGTGTGGATCTTTCTGTCAGTCTGGTTTTCTATGCCTCCCCTGAGTACAGAAGCAGAGAACAGAGGGTCTTATCTATGCCAGAAAAGCAGAAGAAAAAGAAGGGGAGAGGGGGAGAGGGAATGGTGCTGTTTGCTGCTCTTTTATTTCTTGTGAATTTTCTCTTATTAACCGGGTAATAATGCACATTATGTTTTCCCTGTTCTGATTACTGGTGTGGTTTCCACCTGGATCCTGAACCTTTTTGCTTTCCGGAGTTGGAGGCAGGTGACTGCTGCCTATTAATTCTCTCAAGGGAGAAACCCACCCCAAAAGGAGGAACAGGGTCAGGACAGGAAGGGAAAAAAAAAAAAAAAAAACTTGTCCTAAATACCTCCAATGCCATACCCTTGCCTGTCTGGCTCTCGGTGTCTCTACACATGCCATTGCCTCTCCCTGGAACTCTTAGCATGCCCTGCTGGCCCCAACCCCATGTGCCTTCCACTCTTGGCAGATATCATGGGATCTCCATGTGTGGTGAGGGGGCAGAGGAGGGTGAGGTGGTGAGGTTGTACTGGGGCTGAGTCTGAGATGGCTGGGGGCTTAGAACAATGTCCTGAGGCCCACTCAGGACCTTTAGTCTTTGATGGGTGATAAGTGCGTGCGTCAGCTTTCCATGGCTGTGACAACACACCAATTTATGAAGACAAACTTATTTTGGCTCATGTTTAGGTCACCTTGGACCCATTCTTTGTACTAGTGGCAAGGTGAAAGAACATCATGGCAGACATCATGACACAAGCATGTGGTGGAGCAGAGCTGCTCACCTTGTGTGACAGTGCAAGAAACGTGAAATGATTGGGTTATGAGAGCCATAACCTAATCTGTGTGTTAATCCCCTGATAGGGATTAACTGGTGACTATAGGCTGGTAGGGTGTGGTTGGACGAGGTGGGTGCCTGGGGACATGCTTTTGGGGTTTATAGCTTGTCCTTGTTGGCCAGAGCTCTCTGTGATCATCATGTTCTGAGCTGCTCTCCTCCACCACACACTTCCACCATGAAGTTCTGCCTCATCAGGCGCTGAGGAATGCAGTTGGCTCTCTATGGACTGAGTCCTCTGAAACTGAGCCTCAAAGTAAAATTTTCCTCTTCTAATTTTTCTTGTCAGTTCTTTTGGTCACAGTTGTGAAAAAGCTGACTCGGAAGTCCATGACTGTGGTACTTGGGTATCACTCTTCACAGTAGGGAGTGGCTAATTGTCAGACTGTACTGGGAATAGGGTTTTCCTATACTGACTTGGTTGACGCTAGAGTTAAGGTCATCCTGGGAGTTGAGTATCCCAGGGATGTATAAAAGGCACCCTGGGGTGGGTTGGGGTTGCTCCTAGCTCAAGTTCACCTTTTCTAGACATGACCCATGCCCAGGCCTCATCTGGAGCTGTGGTTACAAGATATAATCCCATATCCCTTATACACTGGAGTGGAAAAAGGGTGCCCAAGACCACTAGGGACTTTTGAGAATAATCGGCAGACAAACGTGTGTGAACTGAGGTGTCTGTTGGATGAATCGGGTATCGAAAGATAGTATGCTCTCCTGTTCCCTGCAGGCCTCCTGGGCTCCAATCCATCCTGAGACCCACTGCATCTTCTATTTGGATCACTGTTCTATCAGGTTCACATTTCCCTTTTTGTTTTAGCTACTGAGTTGATGACTATCAAGTGACCAAAAGGGTCCTAGGTATTGGAGTTGACATGTGGGTCCTTTTGAGTACCAAGTTGACTCCTAGTTTGGGGAACCAGGTGCAGGCTGGCTTTGGTTTTCCATGTGGGAGTCCTCTCCTGTGATGGGGTGGGTGGTCAAGGGTGTGTGTGTGAGGAGGTCAGAGCCTCCAGGCTCAGTGCAAAAGCATGGGACCCAGGAGCTGAGCTACCTCCATCCTTCACTCTTTCAGCTGAGGACCAGGGCACTGTGTTCCGTGGTATTACCCAGATTCTCCTAAGTCAGGAGGAGTGGCTGGTCTCCTGGAGGTGGATACATGCTTTGTGCTGAGGTAGCTGGGAGGCTGAGATTGGCCTCCAAGCTCCCTGAGGGAGAGGGGGAGGAAGAGACCCTGCAACAAAGTAGAATAAAGGTAGTAGTCTCTGGAGTGGCCTGGAGTTATTGAGATGCCTGGAATGGGTAGTCGTTAAAAAAAGTGCTATCACTAGAGTGATGTCACTTTGTAGCTAGGTAGATCAGAATGCCAGTCTTCACTGTCACTTACTAGTGTGTGATCCTGGGTAAGTCATTTAACCTCTCTGAACACCAGTGTCATCAAGAAAACACTCTTTGTCACAAGCCACGTGGGATGGAACTTGCGAAAGTGTAGTGCTCAGCACCAGGGACCGACCTCCTTCGTGCTTCATGCTTGGTCCATGGTGGTGAGTGTCATGATCAGGAAGGCCCAAGAAAGCTGGGTGGGGCTATCCCTGTAGGCCAAGGGAAATGCAGACCTCCCAACCTTACTTCCAGGTGCATCTCTTGATGCACACTGGACAGATACCTCCCTGGAACTGCCCAGGTATAAAGGGAGGGGCCCGGTGACAGTAATTAGAGACACTCACTGACTGGTGTCTAATGGCCAGACCCTATTCTAGGGTTGCTACATGCAATAAGTTCTTCACTACTCCCCACTCTAGTGGTAGATACTGTTTCTAGGTCCATTTTACAGATGTGGAAACAGGCATAAAGTTACTTGACCCAGGGCACACAATCAATAAGGGGCAGAGCTGGACAGTCTATCCTGAGTCAAGGCAGGTAATGAACTGCAAAAGAATTTCTGGGTGGCAGTGACTGGTAGGAGCATGCAGAGCGGGTGTGGACGTGTATTGCTTACTGACATGACACAGTGCTCCCAAAGCTGTCAGGTTTTGACTAGGAGATCTTCTCTGTGCCCGGCCACATACTGTCAGTCCCTCAAAGCTTGCTTTCATTCTTGTTTTTTTTTTTTTTTCCCTCTTACCAAGGAACTGTAACAGGTCCCAAATTACAAACCAACTCTCAAAGACATAATAGATAGATCTGGGGACTTCCCTGAAGCTCTTGAGGATTCCCCCTTCCCAAGACATTCAGTGGATGATGTATAAGGCCTGGGAGAATTTGGTGACTGCCCTACAAACAGAATCGAGATCTCTTCTTGGTTCCTAAAGCCATGAGACACATCTTGGAGGCCTCTGTGAAGTTTTTCAAATCAGACATGGTCAGMAAGTTCAGGATCCTAATCATTTTTCCCAGAAGGATCTGGACCTTCCGAGCTGTTGTGCCAGGGTCTACCTCCAGGATTGTTTTCTCCTTCAGGTCTTGCAGCACCTCTGAGTTTATGAACTGTGGGATTCACAGAAGGCCAGGTGACATTAGTGCCTCTGCAGTCCTGCCTCCCCCTTGGAACCTCCACCCTGGGGACTGATCTATCTCCCCAGTACTGCCACCCGTGGCCTTTCTGGTGTTCACACTCACTTGGCCTGTGCCTATGGCCACTTGGACCATGGTGATGTGGGTGGCAGCCACATGTTAGCCTGATCCCAAACCAGAGAGAAACCAGCTCTTGTGCCCTGGACTGGCCTGCCTTCCAAAGGCTGCATCTCCAGGGCCAGTGTCTGCCAGGAGCCCGACTCCACCACAGGCTCACTGGGAGTGTATCCGGGTTTTGTTGGAATGAGGCCTTGCCCCAGCGAGGACACTTCAATGTCCATTTCTGCCTTGGTTTGTGGCTTGTCGAAAGTTGATAGAGACTCCCGGAGGGAGAATAACACCAATATGTTCTACTTCTATGAAGCTGATGAAATGTTTTCATGCAAAGTACCTTACTTAAGCCATATAACAACCTGCGTCTCTTCAGAAGAAGAGACAAGAAGCTAACATCACCCAGGAAGTAGAGAGGTGGGTGTAGAAGGGCAAGTTCTTCTTAGGGCCTCCTGGCTGCCCAACTTGGGCCCCAGCTCTGTCTCCTTCCTTTTGCTCTAATGAGTTACATTTGTGCTGATTTGCTTCTTCTGCACCCCACCACTAGGGCAGCTCCCCAAGAGTACCCCAGCTCCCTGGGCCTGTTAGGCCTCCCAGTCTCCACCCTTTCTGGTTAGTCCTCCTTTCATGGCTCTCTTCCCTCAGGGAAACCCACCACCACTCGAAGGCCTTCATGCCCTCTCCAGCCCTGGGTGGCTCCTCTTCAGCTTGCAGCTGCTGTGGCATGGATGCGAGTGGGTGACCCAGGACAGCAGCGCTGGCCTCCTCTTTCACGGGGAGGCTGCTCAGGGGAATCCAGAATAGGCAAGGATGTTGTGACATCATTACTTAGCCTGCAAAATGGCAGGCTCTGCCAGGAAGGGAACCGGGGTGACCAGCTGGCCAGGCCTGTTTGGAACTTTTCCAGTTTTAGCACTCAAAGTCTAATGTCCAGGAAACTCCTTGGTCCTGGCAAATGGGTGACTGGTCACCCTAAACCTACCCTCCTCTCCTCTCAAATAATATTTGGGCAGTTTAATTTTGCTACAATCTGCTGTTGGGCTGCTTTTCCATCTGCTTCACCTCCAGGAGACATATCTGTCTCTCTATCTCCCTGGTGATTGGACTTCTGGATGCCTATGTGCCTCCCCGGTGGGATCTGTGAATAGAGTCCTCCATGTGGAATGGGGAAGGGGAGTTGGAGCAAGAACAGGGTCTTGTTAAGATCTCACTGGGGGCACTAAGGACCCCCTTATTCCCCTCGATGCCTCTAGTCCTCAGAAAGGGTCTCAAGAGCCCATCTTCTACAGTCAGAAATCCAGGGGACTAGACTCACCATTTATGGGGGCTTAATTACATCATCCCAAAAGGTCTGCCCAAGACCTAATCCCTCGCTCCCACACCTGTGAATGTAGCCTTGTTTAGAAATACTGTATTTTACTATTATATCCTGAATAATTAAGGATCTTGGGATGGGATTTTCCTGGATTTAGGATGGGCCCTAATTGCAATGACTGCTGTCCACATAAGAGAAAGGAGAAGAGATCTTTTCACACAGACACACAGAGGGGATGGCCGGTGAGGATGGAGTCAGAGGAGGCAGCCACAAGTGAACACCAGGAGTCCCCAGCAGCTAGAGAGGCACAAGAGCATCCTCCATCAAAGCCTTTGGACGTTGGTGACCCCACTGACATCCTCATGTCACACTTTTAGCCCCCAGAACTGAGAGACAATAAGCTTTTGGAGTTTTAAGTTTCCCAATTTGTGTCACTCATCCAGCAGCTCTGGGAGAGAGTAAACCACCGCCCCTTTCCTGCCTGGCCTGCGAGGGAGCGTCAGACTTCCAGGTGACCATTTGTTTTGGGGCGAGTGTGTTGGGGGAGGAGAGAACAGACCCCCCTCGTCTCTGGCCCTGCCATCTGACTGGGCTGCTGGGAGCATTGAGTGAGGTGATGCCTCCTGACATCTTTTTTCACAATGAGTTCTTGGGAAGTCGGTTTCCGCCCTTCTCATGCTCATGGTGCTGGAAAATTATCAGAGAAGCGTGTGCATATGGGTAAGCACCAGGTGAGTGAGGGTGGCCGTGTCTTTCTATGGGTTAGTGTGACACAGAGGTGGCCCTGAGGCCCATGGCACGGGCAGGCCAAGCCAGCTGCAGCCTGTGTGCAGGTAGAAAAACCACAACAGAGGGTGGGGGCAGTGGAGAACTTACCTTGAACTTGGTGCCCAGGTTTAAACGAAACCGCTTCTGTTGGTGGAGGAAGTTGAAGATGATCTTGTCCTGGTTTCTTATGTGCACCTGGATGTAGCTGTTGATTTTCAAGGAGATGGGCTGGAAAGGGGGCACGTGGACGTGGACCTGCAGATTCCACCAGTTCCAGGCCTTCTGGTTTTTGCCCTTGGGGAAGTAGTAGCCCAGGCTGCTGCTCAGGCTTGACCTAGAGGAGAAGGTGCATCGGGAGCTGCAGCCAAGCCCTGCAGACTGGGGAACGGCCCCGCTGTGCGAGAGCGGGGCTCGGCCCCTCTCTTCCTCTCTCTCCTGCCTTTTCCCTTTCTTCCTGGGCCACAGAAATGCCCACAGGGTCTTGGCGGGCAGGAGAGGTTCCAACAAATAAAGACCCAAGAGCAGGAGCTGCCATCAGCCCCTGTATACCCTCTGCTCAGCCTTGCTTGGTGGCTCTTGCTCCCTGCCTTTGGACAATGGTGACCGACATTTCTTCCAGGGCCCCCTGCACCCTTTACCTCCTTCCACGCCCTTCTCTCCGGAAAGCTCTCCCACCTTACACGACACAGCTGGCACTGCTCACTAAGTCTCAGCTGGACCAGCCCCTCCAGTTCTCTCCAGGACTCTCCAGGCCCACCCCTTGTCAGTTTCCTGCATAGAATTTACCTACCGTCCGTTCCCACTGTTCATGGTAGTTACGTTCTGTAAAGTCACTGATTTAGGAAATACTGGACCCATAGCCCCTCAGGAAGATTGTGCTGTACACAAGTAGACACCCACATATCTACAGSGGACATGCTGAGACCCCGGGGGACGCCTGGAAATGCAGGTGGCTCCTGAGCCTTGTGCACATTTTTTTCCTATACATATTTACTGAGGATAAATTTTAATTTATAAATTAGGTATAGTAAGAGATTAACAACAAAAACTAATAATAAAATAGTACAATTAAGACAACTTATTGTAATACATTATGTGAATGTGATCTCTCTCTCTCTCTCTCTCTCAAAATATTATATTATACCATACTCACTCTCTTCTCCCCCATGGTTGACTGCAGATAACTGAAACTGCAGAAAGCGAAACTGCAGAGAAGGGGGTTCTACTGTACACACCCGCCTCACACAACATGATATTGTAGATCCTAAAAACAATGCATCCTGCAAAATTCTGTTTTCTTTATTTTACTAAAAGAAAACAAGGCTGGGAAAAGTGATTTGTCTGAGGCCACTCCACTAACTAGGGTCAGAGCTGAGCCACACCCTGGCCAACTGGCCCTGGAGCTGGAAGTTCCTGGACCGTGCTGCCCTGCTCCCACTTTCTGTGCCCTCTGGTCATTTCTGGGTGAAAACTGAGACGAGGAGGCAGAGTCACCCCCTCTACTTTAGCTGAGAATGTGCACATTCAGCAACTCAAATTTTCTGCAGCTCTGCATGTCCTTGACCATGTGACGTGTGTATAAGCACATATCGTCCCAAGGAACGATAGGGTCTATTGGCTAATTCAGTACTTAGTGACTTTATGGACCCAAACTGCCACAAATAGTAAATGTAACCTCCTGAAGGGTGGGGACCCTGCTGAATTCTCACTGCCCAGCCCTATGCAAGCACATACATGGATAGGTGTCAAGTGAGTGGATGTTGGGTTGGAGGGTGGGTGGGTTCCCCCCTCACCCATCCCTACTCTTTAGGGACTGCCTAACTTTCAAACCATCCTTTCTTGACCTTTCAGCCTAACCTCCCTCCTCCTCCAATATTCTTCTTGTTCTGCCTTTTGCTTTTCGAACCTCACCAGGGCTGTCCCTGGAATCAGTRCCATTGGGGCTGCAATATCTCTGAGGAATGGAAGGAGGTGGGAAAGTGATGTCAAGACCTAAGTTAGGAGAAGGTATATTTTTTGTTTGTTTGTTTTATTTTTAGGACCAGGGATTGAATCCAGGGGTACTTAACCACAGAGCCAAATCTCCAGCCCTCTTTATGTTTTTTATTTAGAGACAGGGTCTGGCTGAGTTGCTTAGGGCCTCACTAATTTGCTGAGGCTGGCTTTGCACTTGGGAATCCTCCTGCCTCAGCCTCCCAAGCTGCTGGAATTACAGGTGTGCTCCACCTACCATGCCCAGTGCCCTTTAATCTTTTAAGTGGCTCCCCAAAGCTCTAGGGTTAGCGACTTTAGGCTAAGACTTCCAGAGACAGATCTAGAACAGCCAGAGGTGGTCAGAATTTGGAGGCTCCAGAAGTGGAGGCCCTGTAYGGTGGAGAAGGCAGACTATGCCCACGCGGACCCTGAGTTTAGGTGGGTCTGTCCCTTTGCTGTGTGAGAACCCTGAAGCCTGGGGGAAGCCTGGTCTGAGACTGGGGACCACGTTGGGGATGGGGCTGGGTTTTAGTTTCCACACACTTGGCAAATCACAGCTCATTCCTTCTACCCTCCCTGAGGAAATGGAAATCAAAAAATGACTCAAGAAGTACCCAGTCCTCAAACAGCTCAGCTCTAGATCCTGCCCTGTGTCCAAGGCACCACAAGAAGTTTCCTTCCAGCGTAAAGGCTACAGAGATGTACAGAAGTTCCTGGAGGCCAGGGTTGGGTTCTGGGCCAGCAGCTTTGTGTTCCCAAATGAGTCAGAAGATCTTGCTCAAAATCTCCTTGTGACCATGGGACACAGTCCTGCTGAAGAATTCTCTCAGGGACTGGACCGACTTGCTATGGGCCACATTTTTCTGGGGTGCAGATGTCCCTAGGAAAGAAACCAGCTTAGAGGGTGGAGGGACCCATTTGGGAAGAGGGTGTGGCCCTGTGGTGTGACTGTTTGGGGTGATGAGTGTGTGGGGAATACAGTCTGTCTGTCATCTGGAGGCCTGCTGAGGGGCTTAGTGATCCGTCCACCACCAAGAGAAAGGGCAAGAGCAGTACCAGGAACAACACTGAGGGGCTTCTCCTCGTGTAGGGCAGCAGGAGAAAGAAGGGAGAGGCAGGAACTGCCGGGAGCCGGCAGAGGAACCAGGCAAGAGTCAAGGGCGTGCTGGGTGTGCTGGACCCTGGCCTGTGGCCCCATGGCCTAGACACTGCAAGCGCCATTTGCCAGTGCKTGCGAAGCCCATTGCCACTCTGACCAGCTAGCTTTGAATGCCAGGAAGCCTCCCAGTTCTTAGCTGCCCTATTTTCTCCTTTGAGGAGGAGCACAGAGTCAGAAGGGGAAGCTGCTGGGATTTCTCCAGCTCTTGGCAGCAACTGAGTGCGGGTTAGCCTGGGTTTTGAAGATCTTCAAAGAGCAAACAGGAAGCAGGTCCCAAGGAGAGAGATGGGAGATGAGGAGTTAGGGATGGCTGGGTGGTGGACTGGCTATGAGGCCAGGGCCTGAGACTTCGGAACAAGACTCCTCTGGAGAAGGAGGGACTTTAAAGCACTGGCTGCTGCTGTTCCCCCACAAAGTTGAGACCTTGGCAACCAGAATCACTTGGAAGCACTTAGAGAGTGCAGACTTCCAGGACCCACTCCAGACCCACAGAACCAGAATCTTGGGGAGGGGACCTGTCCTGACCCAGCTCTGAATATCATCTGTCCCCTTGGGTTTTGATGGGCTTTGAGGTTCAGAGATGGGAGACGTGATCTCTCTTTTATACCTAATTTGATGACTTTAAAAAAGGTTGTAAAGGTTGAGTCAAAATGCCATAAAACTTCTTGCCTATAGTGTTATGTATGACATGGGACAAATGACTTATCATTTTCTGAACCCAAGTTTCTTTTTTATTTGTTAAACAATTATTTTATTTATTTATTTTTATGCAGTGCTAAGGATCAAAACCAGTACCTCACACAGGCTAGGCAYGTGCTCTGTCATGGAGCTATAGCCCCAGCACTAAGTTTCTTCATTAATATAATAAAAGTCGTTGCTAGATTTCTCCAAGTTCTCTTCTGGTCCTCCAAATGCATGCTGTTAGGGAGAAGAGGCCCAGCTGCACACTGCCAGATACAACCATCACCAGAACTGGGAACTTCAAGAACGAAGTTTGATTCTAATGAAATATTTAGAAGTTGCCTTTTTCACTGTGGATTCTGTATGCAACACAATATCTCCAAAGCTGTCAGCAGCTCCTGGACCTGCCCCCCCCACCCCCTGTCCCCAGCCCCGGCACCCCTGAGTCATCAGAGGTAATTCATAGAAGGCTCAACTCTTAAGAGGCGTTTAGGAGATGAAACTAAATCTGTGATTGCTTTTAACATTACCCCCACCCCTTGCCAGGAGGCCATGGTGCCACAAGGACCTTGCTCCTTCTCTGAGGGCAGGACCTATTGTATTCATCCCCCAAGTTACCCTTTGCCTGTTCCCAGCACACAGGAGTTTAGAGACAGGGAGGTAGAAGGGCGGTGCAGACTRAGATCAAACTTCCACGGCACTACACACTACTACCCTGCGGGCAGGGTACTAGGGACACATGACTCAAGCTTACCAGATAAATCCATTTTCATCATTGAAGGTGGCATGGCCAGAGTTATTGACGAGGGCCCGGATGCTAGCCTCTAGACTGTCTTCCAGAATGATGTATGTGAACTCTTCACCATCTGTGCAGGAGATGAGCAGAGCGAGCCTTCCTGATGGATAGCTGGGCGTTGGTTAAGGCACAAGCAGTCCCTTGGGACCCCCTGGAGGACACAGTCCTCAAACCCTACCCCAGCCCCGAATCAGACATTGTAGGTGCCAGTCTGTGCCCATATGAGCATGTCTCTGCTCCAGTGGATACTGTATCTGTCCTGTCCCATCAGGAAAGAGAACTTGGAAGATGTTCTCATTGGGGTAGAGAATTAATTTTCCATCTCCTTTATGCACCTGGGAAAGAAAAGATGTCTGTGAAAAGCACGCAGGTGCTGACTGTCCTGCTTCGGAGCACGGTGAGGTCACTAAAGCACTCAGACCCTGCATCTGCTTGCTCTTTGTGTGACCCCGTGCTGCTCTGATTACATGCACACACACGTGCATGCAYACACCCATGCACACCCATACAGACTGAAGTGCTCACTTCACTCACCCCCACGCTTATTGGTGCTTTTAATTTCCTAGCAGGTGGAACCAAGTCCGGCCAGCTGGGCGGCTCGATATTAACAGAAATATATTCCCTCACCACTGTGGAGRCCAGAAGCGTGACATCATGGTGTCCACAGGGTTGCTTCCTTCTGGAGGCTGCTAGGAAGATCTTCTTCCCCACCTTCGACTCTTAGGAATCRATGGTGACTTGACCTTTTGTGGCTTGTCTGTACATCACCCCATCCCTGCATCTTTGCTGTGTCTTCTTGGGAGGGCACCAGTGGTGTTGAAGCTGGGGCACACCCTACTACAGCATGACCTCGTTTAATGTCATTAATTACACCCCAAAGACTCCATTTCCAGATACAGCCACATGCTGAGGTGCTGGAGGTTAGGATTTCAACCTGTCTTTTGGGGGGAGCAGGAGGGGGACAATTCAACCCATAATGTTGGTCCATTCAGGTTTTTACAATTTTCTTCTTAGTCTTAGTAAATTATATTTTTTAGGAGATTGTTCATTTTATGCAAATTTTTTTTCATTAAAATTTTGTCATATACTGTTTTTTAAAAATATTCCACTGCCTCTGTTATATCCTCTCCTTCATTCCTTATATTATTTATACTTTCTCTTTATTTTTTTTTCCTGTATCAAACTTGTCAGGAACTTTGCCTATTTTATAACTAATATTTTCAAAGAACAAGTTCATGGTTTATTTATTTTATGGTTTGGGTGTGAGGTGTCCCCCAGAAGYTCATGTATGAGATAATGCAAGAAGGTTTGGAGGAGAAATGATTGGGTTCTAGCCTTAACCTAATCAGTGAATTAATTCCTGATGGAATTAATTGAGTGGTAACTGGGGGCAGGTGGGGTGTGGCTGGAGGAAGTGGTTCAGTGGAGGCCTGGCTATGGGGTATATGTTTGTATCTGGCAAGTGGAGTCTCTCTCTCTCTCTGCTTTCTGATCACCCTGTGAGCTGCTTCCCCCTGCCACACTCTTCCTCCACAATGTTCTGCCTCACCTGGAGCCCCAAGGAATGGAGCCAGCCTTCTATGGACTGAGACCTCTGAAACCCTGAGCCCTCAAATGAGCTTTTCCTCCTCTACAATTGTTCTGGTTGGGCCCTTTAGTCACAGCAGTGAAAAAGCTGACTAAAACATATTGTTTACTATATTATTCTATTGAATTGTTTCTTTAATTGTTCTACTGAACAGAATAAACAATTTCTGTTCCTGTTACCAATAAGATCCTTTTTGATGGTCTTCTAGGTTATTCTATTTTATTTCTCTAATTCCTTGAATTGGATGCTGAACATATTGATCTTCATCTTTCTTTTTCTTTATAACCATCCTCCTTATTTACATACGCAGACGGRACTACGAGGTTCCTCTCAAAATACTGTGTTAGCTGTTTTCCAGGAGTGGAGATATCTACCTTTCATTTATACTCCTTTCATAATATTTTCAAAATTATTTTTTAAAATTCATTTATTTTTTCTTTCAATATGAGTTGTTCTTTTGTGTACAAGTTACTTGTGAGTGGTACTACATTTGCCAATGTATGGAGTGCCTTTGTTTACATTGTTAGCATTACTAATTAAAATGCATTAGGGAGAGAGTCTATGATGTGGTATCAGCTCTTCAGTGTCTGCTGAGGTTTGCTTTGTGGCCTTGTGTGTGATCGACTGTTGGGAAGGATGTGTGTCCTCCATTGGAGTGTAGGAAGAATGTGGAGTGAGCTAGGCTAGCTGGAGTAAGGAGCAAGTCAGTTTTCTTTAATTCATTAGATGAGGAAGCTGACGACTTTATGTAAGGGCTCCCAATATCCTTCCCGATGTCCCTTACAACCTGGAGAGTTTGGACTGTTTWTGGACTTCCTCCCTACAGGCAGGCCCAGGAGATAAAGAGTACTGAGCAGCCCGTTCCCTGACTGGAGGCCTGAAGAGTCTGCACCTTGGCACACAGCGTCCGTTTCCTGTTCTCTTYCACTCTGTCACATGGAGGCCACCTCATTACATAAAGGGGGCTGAGTGAGGGTGGCTGATGGCTTTTCCTCTCGGTGCAGCAGGAAGAATATCTCCCGKCTCCTGTGCAGCTAGGTGGGGGTCGTGTGACTTGTTTCGGTCATGGAACTTAAGCCTGGACTCTGGCTTTACTATCTGTCCAGGAAACTGGACTAAAAAAAAAAAAAATCTCCAAGGTAGTGGTGACCCCTGATGGAAGGGCCCGGATTCCTGAGACCCACTTTGGAGGAACGTCACTTAAATGAGCTAATAAGACTGAAAATAAGATGTGAAGTAAGCAAGATATACACATCTGCTTATTAAGCCTCCGAGCTTTGGGAAAGACTGTTAATTTCAGCAGGTGATGATCATTGTCCTGACTAATACAGGCTTTGTGACCTTGAGACAGTGGCTCTACCCAGTGAGCTGGTGTTATGGTTAACTTCTTTATTTTTATTTTTTGGGTACTGGGGATTGAACTCAGGGGCACTTGACCACTGAGCCACATCCCCAGCCCTATTTTGTATTTCATTTAGAAACAGGATCTCATTGAGTTGCTTAGGGCCTCACTGTTGCTGAGGCTGGCTTTGAACTCATGATCCTCCTACCTCAGCCTCCTGAATTGCTGGGATTACAGGTGTATGCCATGACACCCAGCTATGGTTAACTTCCTAAATGTCCCCTTTTTGCTCATGTGTTGAAGGCTTGGTCCCCAGCTGATAGCCCTGCTGGGAGATGGCAGAAACTTGAGGAGGTAAGTTCTACTTGGAGGAAGTAGGACATTGAGGGTGTGCCCTTCAAGGAGATATGAAGACCCCAGCCCTTCCCTTCCTTTCTTCTGCTTCCTGGGTGCCAAGAGGTGAGAGGATTTGCTTCACTATACATTTTCCACTGTAATGTTTCTCCTCTCCACAGGCCCAAAGGGTCAAGACCAAGTGACCATAGACTGCAAGCAAAAATAAATCTTTCTCCTTTTAATGAACGGTCTCAGGTATTTTGTCACAGCAATGGAAAGTTGACTAACACATCTCGGGACCTAAGGTACCCATTCCCCATCCCTCTGCCACTTGCTCACAGTTGTCCTTGAGGTGAAGTTTTCAGGGCCTTTCCTGGCTCTGCGTGGGATCCCTTCCCCTCGGTATCTTCATGGCTCAGGCTYAAGTGGCAYTTGGCCCCAYAGGCCTTCCCCAAATGCCCTGTGGGTATGGGAGCAACTCCACTCTCAGCCCAGCAGCTGGAGAGTCCTCATGATGCTTTCTCCTTGTGCCATGCAATAATAGCTGCCGTGGCACTGAATAGTGCTTTTGGACTCGGGCTCTCTCTTTGACGGAACATAAGGTCCCTGGGAGCAAAGACGATGTTCTGTCTGCCCCTGTGTCTCCGGGACCTGGGGCATTCGTTGTCTGTTCTCAGCACATATTTACTGAAGGCACCAGGTCTACTACGTCTTTCCCATCTCCACTCTAATGTCTATTTTTTGAACTTGGGTCATAATTATTAGTTCATGATTAATGATTCTAACGTTCTGAGACCTGTTTACCCTTGTGACTTCATAGTATCATTCTTTGTAAATATACCACATGATTGGTTTTTAAAAGCAAACTTCACGTTTTTAGAGCAGGTCACAGCAAAACTACGTGGAAATGCAGAGATTTCCATACACCCCCAATGTCCACCCTCACATTCCCTACCATCAACATCCTCCGCAGAGTGGTACACGTATTCCAATTGATGGACAACGTACGGACACACCCCAAGGTCGTAGTTTTTTTTTTTTTTCATGTCTTCATACCTGTACTTTGGATAATGATGTCCATCACATTCCACCATCCTTGCTAACTCCCTGCCCCCTCCCTTCCCTATTCCATCCCTTTGCCCTATCTAGAGTGCGTCTATTCCTCCCATGCTCCCCYTCCCTATCCCACTATGAACCAGCCTCCTTATATCAGAGAAAACATTTAGCATTTGTTTTTTGGGGGGATTGGCTAACTTCACTTAGCATTATCTTCTCCAGTGCCATCCATTTACCTGCAAATGCCATGATTTTATTCTCTTTTATTGCTGAGTAATATTCCATTGTGTATAAATGCCACATTTTTTTATCCATTCATCTTCTGAAGGGCATCTAGGTTGGCTCCACAGTTTAGCTACTGTGAATTGTGCTGCTATAAACATTCATGTGGATGTGCCCCTGTAGTATGCTGTATGTGCCCCTGTAGTCCTTTGGTTATAGACCAAGGAGAGGGATAGCTGGGTCAAATGGTGGTTCCATTTCCATATTTCCAAGGAATCTCCATACTGCTTTCCATATTGGCTGCACCAATTCACAGTCCCACCAGCAATGTACCTGAGTGTAYCTTTTYCCCCACATCCTCGCCAACTTATTGTTGTTTGTCTTCATAATAGCTGCCATTCTGACTGGAGTGAGATGATATCTTAGAGTAGTTTTGATTTGCATTTCTCTAATTCCAAGGCCGTAGTTTACATCAGGCTTCGYTCTTGGGGTCATACATTCTGTAGGTTTGGACAGATGTGTAATGACATGCATCTGCCATTGTAGTAGTCTCCTACAGAATAGTTTCACTGTCTTAAAAATCCTTTCTCTCTGCCTATTTCTTCTTTTCATTCTGCCTAACACATAGAAGCCACTGATATTTGTACTGTCCCTGGTTATTCACTTTTCATAGAATGTCATAGAGTTGGGATCATATAGTTGTAGCCTTTGTAGGTTAGTTTCTTTAACATAGTGTTATGCATTTAAGTTTTGTCTGTGTCTTTTCACAGCTTGACAGATCATTTCTTTTTAGTGTTGAATAATATTCCATTGTATGGATGTATCCATTCACTGTGTAATTGATTTTTGATATAGATTCTAATTTATTTAGGAGAGGGACCTCCTATCATATATTTGCATATATCATATRTTTTCTTTATTCTCCTCCTTTACATTCAATTGTCCATTACAGACCCAGCAGGCCAAAGAATCTCAATAAATCCTAATAAAAACCCTATTGGGGCTGCCAATAACACTCCCAGTCTGGTGAACCTCCAGGTAGTATCCACATTTTTCTTGTTTGTGTTCACGTTGTGTGTGGTCCTGCCAGCTCTGATGGTGTGCGTGCCTCATCTGAGCTAAAAAACCCAAACCCCCAAACCAGCACCCCCCCCCCAAAAAAACAAAACAAAACCCAACAACAACAGCTACCCAAAGCGAGAGCTTCAACACCGCGCCATCTTTACCTTCATCTCCTGTATCCATTCTGAATCTAGTTCCACTTTCTTCTTACCACCAACCCGCTTCTTGCCTTCTGGCTCAGGCTCCATCATACTCGGGAGATGAAATGTGAGAGTCTCAGACGACTTTAGATCTGCCATTCAGTGAGTGAATGATRTTTGCATTCAGTCCAGCGACTGGATTGAGTAAGGTTTTTGTAGGAAAGAGAAAGGTAATGGAGATGACCCTCTCAACGTGCCAGGGAGGGTTTCAGGGTTTGGAGATTCAGCCATTGTCCAAATAAGGAAGGAGGCTGGGTCCTAGGAAGAGCAAGGTTTCTGAAGCTCGCAAGGCTGGGGCTGAAATTCCAGCTCTCTCTGTTTTTTTTTTTCAATCATTCACTGAACACATATTTCTAAGGGCTTAATGTGTAGCAGTCCAGGGCAGGATAATAGACACGATGGTGAAGGCCACCCCGTCCAGACATGGGCACTAGAGCGGGAGACAGCCATATGCAAAGTGTGGAGCAATGAGTGACATGGTCTCAGACAAAAGTGGTGGCTGCTAAATGAAAAAGCAGGCTAAAGAAAGGGAAACACACCTTAAACATGTTACTTTCACCTAAAGCCTAAATGTATAAGAATATGTCATTTAAAATGTAGAGCAAAGTCTTTCCTTTGAGATCTGATCCCTGGGGCTCTGTGCTCAAACCACACCCATAATTTACTACTGATCACCTTCAGGTTTGGCAGTTTCTAATAGACTGAGTGCAGAGTGGTACAATCTTAAAAAAACAATTTCTACATGTTAAGGTCTGTAAACAAGTCAAAATAACACCTGGTATTTTGCCAGGGGAATGTTAGAGTTCGTAAACAAGTCTGGATGGTGCCTGGCAAAATGCCAGAGGGAGTGGTTTGAAAAGTAACAAAAGTGAGCCATTAAGTGTGGAGATTCCTTATTGGTTGACTGATGTATCTAGTTTATGCTAATTAAGATAAGCTGTGCAAAATGTATAAATAGCTCTGTTGTCCTACAATAAACGGCTCCCATTCCTGCTGTATCAACGAACACAACTTATTCGTCACCCCCCCCCCCCCCCCCCCCCCCCCCCCCCCCCCCCCCCCCCCCCCCCCCCCCCCCCCCCCCCCCCCCCCCCCCCCCCCCCCCCCCCCCCCCCCCCCCCCCCCCCCCCCCCCCCCGCCTATTCTGCTGCAGCCGGACTGCAGCATCTACACATTACCCAATGTTTTATGTCCATTTGGTTCACAACTAACCCAAAATAATTTTTAAAAAAGTATTTTCGTATTGAGCTTTTTAAAAAGCATCAACTAGTTTTCATAGCAAAAAGTTTATTTTTATATTTATCCACTTTTACAACAATTGAATTTTGGAACTAAACTAGTAAGGACAAGTGAAGCTCTGCTCCAAGTGCCTTCTGGAGGGTGTTGAATGTGATGCAGTGAAGGGAGCTGGGGAGAAGAGCTTCTCTCTGAGGTCAAGGCYGGGGTGCTCTTGGTGGGAGGGAGGAGCATGATCGTCTTGGCAACTGGGTTTGGGGAGCCATGGAAGAGAGCCCTGGGTGTCCCACCATTGGGGCCAAAACAGGGTGCCATGAGAACTCACAGGAGGGAACTTAACCAGGCTCTGAAACTGAAGCAAATTKTGGTGGAAGGTAAGTGTCCAGCAGTCAAGAGGGTGTCCTAGCATAAGCACTGTGTGGTCTAAGGCTCCAAGGAGAAAGAACTTGCGGTGACCGATGATTCTAGAGAGGCAATCAGGGCTCGATCATGGGTTCATTTGCTCACTTAATAAATGCTTATTGTGTACCTGTGTACACAATACCAGAGCTGCCCTGGGTATCAAGGATGCTACAGTCCCTGCTATCTCAGGGGAGACTGATAATAGTGTAATGTGCCAGGTGGTTACTAGTGCTATGAAGAAATAGGGCAAGCAGGATGGAAAGTGATGGTGTGCATGTATATTGTGTGTGTGTGTGTGTGTGTGTGTGTGTGTGAACACACTGGTTTATAATTTTTTTTTTTTTTTGAGATGGGATGTTGAGCAGGCTGGCCTCAAATTCCTGAACTCAAGTGATCCTTCTTGAGTAGCTGGACCATGGGTACATGCCACCAGGTGAGTACTGGTTGGTCAAAGGTAGCCARGAAAAGTACTTCTGAGAAGGTAACATTCCCTCTGAAGAGAGGGACAGAGCCATACAATATCAGAACCAGGAGCATTCTATGCAGAAAGAGCAGCAAGAACAGTCCCTGTGGCAGGAGACACTAGGCCCATTTGGTAAATGAGGAAAACAGCAACAACAGCAGCAGGTCTGAGAGGAAAAGCTGAGAGCCTTGCAAGTCCCATGAGGAATAGGGACATTTTCTTGGAGGCCATAGAGGCCCAACGAGAGTTTTCAAGATTACTCCAAACTAGATGGTTCTGAACAGGAAAGACCGTATCAACCGAGAATCCCAGAGAGAAATGAAGATGCAGGATCCTTTTCCAAAATTATTAAGAATTTCAGGACAGTGACAGGAAAGCTTTAACCAAAGCCTAGGGTCCCTCTCTGTGCAGAGCCCCACCCAACTGCGTGGGAAGTTGGCCCTGGTTTGGCAATTCAAGTGTTCAGAGTCCTGGGCAGCGTACTAACGATAAAGAGTTGGTGGGCATGGTGGTGCACACCTGCAATCCCAGCAGCTCAGGAGCCTGAGGCAGGGGGATTGCCAGTCCAAAGCCAACCTCAGCAGCAAGACCCTGAGCAAATCAGTGAGACCCTGTCCCTAAACAAAATATAAAAAAGGGCTGGGGATGTGACTCAGTGTTTTAAGTACCCCTGGGTTCAATCCCCAGTACAAMAAAACAAAACAAAACAACAACAACAAATAACCCTACCCAACAAACAAAAGAATCCAAGCAGGACACTGGCAGTGAGTGAGTTTGCCTCTCCAGGGCAGCTAGTTCTCTAGCTTYTTGGGGACTAGCTACAACAGGAGCCTGAAGTGGACGTCTTTCCTCAACTAGTGTTATGGTTTGGATCTAASATGTCCCCTGAAAGCTCATGTGTGAAACAATACAGGAATTTTCAAAGATGAGCACYAAGTTTAGGTTATAAGAGCTTTAACCTGATCAGTGGATTCATTCACTTGATGGATTAAAAATTTGCAAGGACTACTATACTGGGTGGTAACTGAAGGCCRGTGGGGTGTGGCTGGAGCAAGTAGGTCACTTTGGGGTTGATATTTTGTCCCTAGCACCTCGTTATCACTTCCTTGTTGTCGAGAGCTGGATAGCWWTCCTCTACACCAARCCTTTCCACCATGATGTTTCTGCTTCACCTCAGGCCCAGAGTAATGGAGTTGACCAACCATAGACTGAGCCTCTGAAGCTCTGAGCCAAAATTAACTTTTCCTCCTCTAAGTTGTTCCTGTCAGATCTTTTGGTCACAATGATGAAAAGCTAACATATTCACAAATATTACATTTCTGTGTAATAAGCTCACATCTTTTAGGGGTCAGTTATCAGAACAAGCAGGGAGTGGGCAGAGATGACATCAGGAGGAATCTGGTCATTTGTATTATATCAAATTTCATTCTCCARTTAGAAGCCCTTCTCTGGACATGGGACAGTAGATTATCCTGAAAGGCTTTTATTCCCTCAAAGGAGCAAAAATTCATGCATGCATGCATCCATTCAAGAAACATTGATTGAGTGCCTATTGTATGCCTTGCTAAGGTGCCAAGAAAATAAAGACATAAGTGTCTACAGCCACAGGGTAAAAGAAACATAARTAGCAGACAAATGTAAAACAGTAAGTGTAATAGACATTTTCTGTGTTCCTGGCGACTGAGAAGGTGAACTCCTGTCCTTGTTTTGGGGGTACCCCATTGTGTGAGCCTTGGTGGGGGGCAGGTTCTCTCACCTCAGTAACTGGAAGTAACAATTTCTCCTTTTCCCTACCCTCTAACTCCAATGAGGACATGAGACTTAGGCTTAGACAGTTCCCATCCCTTTTTCTTCTCTGACCTGAGCATGCTCGAGAGATGAGTCCTAGGTTTGGCCTGAGAAATACTGAAAAAAATCAGTGTGGCTTTTCCATTCAATGACTGGTGTTCTTAATCTCTCTGAGCCTGAGTTTCTTAATCCTTCTTCACATGGTTATGAAGATAACTTTGAATCAGACATTGCATATGCAAGTACTTAGCCCACAGGGGTTATTCCTTAAGATTTGGGACACATGCTACTATTAGGGGATAGAGCGCTCTCTTGAGAGGGAATCTGAGGGTGTGACATGACTCAGGGGAAAGAGGACCATGGCTGACTGGCTGTCTCTCTCGTGGGTACCACCACCCTTTCTGTGTTAGCTTTCTCTGGTTTTCTGAAAGATACTCCATATTGTGGTTTGAGGTTCCTCAGTTAAGCAGTCTGACCCAAACTTTGCATGATTCAACCCACAAACCTGGTAACCTCCATGATCAGCCATGTCTGAATAGCTGGGTCCCACAAGTGGAGACCCTTTTCCCCAAATCTGGGTTAGATGCCCCTCCCTGTGCTTCAGAGCATCCTACCCGTCATAGGACTTATCYATTACATTCCCCACTTGCTTGTCTGTCCCCTTCCTTCAAGGGATCAGGCGGTCCACCGGTCCTGGACTGTGTCTGTCTTGCTTGATATTTTGTTCCCTGCAGCTCGAACTTTGCTAGCCCAGTYGGTACTTGAGTAAACAAGCATTTCTGCCTCCTTTACAAGGCAACTGGAGGGTCAGAGACTGGACACGGGGAGAGACTGGTGCTTACCTTCATGTCTCTTCATAAGCCATACGATTGGGTCTTCCAATGCTTCAAAATTTGCCTTCAACCTAGAAGGAACATGAATCCTCTTTGAAAACCGTGGGCCTCACTAATGTACGTGTCATGATGCGCAGAGCTGGCGGGGCTAGAGCCTGTGGGTGGGGGTGGGGGAAGTTGAGCCACTGGCTCTGCTGTSTGACCCAGCTTTCCTTCCAGTCCATGTTCAGGAATAAAAGGTTGGCCTTTGGCCTCCGTTCTGTTCTTCCCGCCTGGTGGCTTACTGATTTTCATCCTGGGAACATGGGCTGACCCCCAAACCCTTGAAAAAGAATTCAACAAGGATTATCTTGAAGCTGAGCAGGGTGGCACAACTTGGGAGGCAGAGGCAGGAGGATCGCAAGTTGAAAGCCAGCTGCAGCAACTTAGTGAGGCCCAAAGCAACTTAGTAAGACTCTGTCTCTAAATAAAATATATATATATATATATATATATATTTTAAAAAGGGCCCTCAAATAAGGGTGGTCTCCAGGGCAGCTGGGTTTCCTGGTTCTCAGATCTGAGTTCGTTTGAAAGGAAAGGTGTCAGAAAGAGTGAAGTTCCCAAGCTTAAATGGAACTGAAAAGGAGGCCGTTGACCTGACAGGTTTTTAGTCCCCGAAGAGAAATAAAAATTAAACCTAGAGCAACCTCAGTGAGCAAACATCCTTTGATGGCAAGGGTCACACTATGTCACCTAGCAGAGAGCAGAGGGTTACTATTTATACACAAGCAGCTGTGGGGGAACAAAGAATGACATCTTGGTGGCCCATTTGTACAGAATGTTATTGGTCTGACTTGTAAGCTCTCTAATCCGAATCAAAGCAATTTCTGCCAACTGGCACCTGTGGAAAAAATAAGGACCACAGAGTGTGGCGAGGTGGAAGCCTGTGAGCAGGATGCCAAATGCAGACAAGTGTTAAACTCTAGTGAAGGGATCCAGCCAGAGGGCTCCAAGGCCCTTTCTATAATGGCTGGATGTTCCTCCTTTCATATTTTGCAAGTAAGTGGAATCCCCCAAAATGTGAGGCTGTGAGGTACACATGACTGTATCCCCATAGCCCAGGGGAAATATTTGTTGAGCACAGTCAGGTTGAAATGAGCTTCTGTTATAGGCTACAAGGGGAAGAGATGGAACCGAGGCGGCAGGATGATTTACCCAGATGCTATTTGGTATTTGCTTTTGCTGATCTGAGAGCTTGGGAGAGCTTTGTGTTTTGCTCTTGGGAGATCTTTGTGTGTTGCTCTTGTACCTGGCCTGGGCCTGCTTTCCCTGCCAGGGGACTTGCCAGGCTCTGCTCTCTCCCCTGGTGGTTCCATTTACAACTTTGCCTGCRGTCACCGCYTGTCTCCCCAAACCCACAGACCACCAATCCCACCTCTCCAGTTACTCACAGCATCCCCAGCTTCCTTCTGTTTACAGTTTCCATCATCAGAGTCAGGGGGATGTTAAGGTCGTCGTCCAGTTCATTGGCAGCATACATTTCTCTGACTATTCTCTTAAATACTGCCTGATAGGATCTTCTAAAAAACTAAAAAAAAGGATCACAAATGAAATCCCCAGAAAATGAAAATTAATGATTCATTAGTTAATCCCTTCTTTGGACTCCCAAACGTGCCAGGTGACATTTCATCATGTGATTCAAAAGATACAAAATGGGGGAGCAGTAGGGTGGCTAGCAAGAATTCTTTTATAGAATTCATTATATTCTCTTCTTGTCCCCCCACCCGATTGCCTTACGAATTGTTTGTAATATCAGTATCTCAAGAACTCTTTTGAGATATAATATCCTCTTTTTTTTCAATTCTGAAAACAGCTATAAAATGTAAAAGTGATTTCACATTTTAAGAGTGTAGCGAGTTCTCTGATCCCCAAATGGCCAATCTCCGAGGGGTGGCTTGTTTATTCAATATCAAGGCTGAAGTCTTTGAGGGAAGCCGTGGAGCAGTAGAGCATCATTGTCCTGGACAGCTCTGCATTGAAAGATTCTTCCCAGGTAAGGGCTTTACAAAGGACTTGCCTTTGTACTGTGTAAATTTGATCCTCTGTCTCAGGTCTGTGCTTCTTATCATGACTGACCCAAAGATGGGTCCTTGCAATTTGAACTTGTGTGAACTTGTATGTTCACAAAAATAAGCCTTGCAGGTACCAAGTGGCATTCATTCCATTCTTCCTCTCTTGCTCTGGTTCTACTTGTTGCCTACCAAGCTGTTTGGAGAAGTATTGCGTCGCTAAGGCATGTTATTGACTGCTATGGTTTGGATATTGAATGTCTATCAAAAGCCCGCCTGTTAAGGGCGTGGTCTCAGGGTACATTATTAGGAAATGGCAGAACCTGCAAAAGGTGGAGATTCGTGGGAATTGCTTGGGTTACTAGAGGAGCACCTTCTAGGGACTGTGTGTATCTGTTTCTTCTTCTCCCTTGTTCTGCTTCCTGGCTCAAGATGTGACTGCTTGCTCTGACACAGGCTCCTGCCATGGCATGCTGCTCTTGCAAGAGGCCCAAACCCATGGGGGTTGCCTGATCTTGGACATAAAACTCCAGAACTGTGAGCCAAAATAAAGTCTTTACTTTACAAGTAGCTGGTATCAGGTATTTTGTTACAGTGATGTGGAGCTGACTAATACATTATGTTGGGTGATAATGCTGGTGTCCATGCCCCAATCCTTGAATGGTACAGAAATCACAGAGGAAAGAATCCCCCAACTTGGTTGCCAAGTTTTGTCACATTGACTCTAGAGCAGCATGGCTCATGTCCAGACTTTTGCAATGTGCTTCATAACTGGTTTCCATCCATGACTGGCTTTTATACTCTAACCATAGGGGCTCAGTCACTGTCTATAGAATTTAGATAAGAAACAAGATGAAGTACCAAACCCTATCACCTTTTTTTTTTTTTTTTTTTTTTTTACTGGATTCCACTTCACTTATTTAAAGCCCTTCTAATTGCAGACCAAAAGCTCATAGGCTCATGTAGGAAAACAAACTAACACTGGCACGTTTTTATGTGTTTGGGGGAAAGGAGGTATTGTCTATCTGTGATAGTAAAAAAATAACAATAATAATTATGCCCTATAATCACCTCTATTTCCCAGGTTGCAACTATATGCTAAGAATTCTGTTGTGGACGGAATTGTACCCCTCTCCCACAGATTCGTATATTGAAGTTCTATTCTTCGTATTAGACAGTGACCTTGTTTGGATATAGGGTCTTCACAGAGGTTACCAAATTAAAATGGTGYCATTGGGGTGATCCCTCATCCTATATGACTAGTGTCCTTATAACAATGGGAAATTTGGACATAGAGATATATAGAGAGGTAAGACGACAGGAAGTGATACGAGGTGGGGGGAAGACGTCATCTACAAGCCAAGGAGGGAAGTATGGACCAGATTCTTCCCACACAGTCCTCAGGGGGAACCAAGCCTGCCAGTGTCCTGATTTGGAGTTTTTAGTCTCCAGAATTRGGAGTCAATATGCTTCTGTTGTTTAAGCCACTTCATCTGTGACACTTGTTACTGTGGCCTTAGCAAACAATACAGATTCCAAATCGAAGCCTTTAGCCAAGAACATTCTCCTAGAATTTAGATGGACTGTTCCGGGGTTTCAACTGGACGTCATTTGGATGTATTTCAGGTACTTGTGCCCAAATGGAGCTTTCTACTCTACCCAACATATATGCCAGCCCTTCTTCTCCTCTTCAGCTTCCCAGGCCACAGAGGATAAGTTTGGCCTATGTCACGGCAGGGGATTGGACATGGCCCTAAGCRACCAGATTTCACCCTTTGTTCATGTGTACTGATATTGTAGAACTACTCCTCTTCCTGTCCTCAGTCTCCCCACTCTAATCCACAGAGCCACCAGAGTGGCCCTTTAAAAATGCAAAATTGATCCTGTCAGTCGTGAAGGAACTCAATTAATACTGTTGGGAACTTTGGCCAGATCCCCTATGCCATGCTGTTTTCCCCAAATACATTTCAAATTATGTATATATTAAAGATCTCTTAGAGAGCTAGAAAAATAAATCATAATTTTTTTTGAGAGCCAAAAGACTTTTCTAAATCTAAAACAATACCCAGTAGTCATAAGAAAAAAAAAAAAAAAACAAAACTGTTCCATGAACCTTCCTAAACATGAAAATTGACCATGTCATGGAAAATACCATGAAGAAATTTGGAATAAAAAAACTGAAAAAAAAAATGTTTACAACCTAGATGCCAAAAAAGGATTAAGCTCTTCAATATATAAAGAGTTTTTACAAATCAGAAGAAACGAGAAAGAAGTAACACAATAGAAGAGGAGACAAAACACACAAGCTGGCCGTTTCACAGAAAGGGACACAACGTGACCGACAAATGTGAACATGCCCTGCACCTTTTGTATTGAAAGATAGGCCCAGGCAACAAGGASACATTATTTTCACTCTGTTGGATGGACCAAATGATGTCCCTTGGTGGGTGAGGGTGTGTGACCTCTTGGGGAAAGGAAAGTGGCACAATACATATGGGCAGAAATTTGTCAGTGCCATTCGAGTTAAGGATGCAGGTAACATTGGATTTGGCATTCAACTGCAAGGGATTTATTCTTTAGATATTCTTGCACAGGTAATAACATATATTTAATTTATTTCTTCTCCCTCTCTACATATGTATATGCATATATGTATATATACTGGAAATAAACATCTATTGGTAGGGTGCTGGTTAAATTTTGGCGTAAGATATAATGGAACACCACAGATTTCTAAAAATGGAATGAAGGGAAAAGCAAGCTATAGGATAGAATGTATATTACTATCTAATTTATGGATATGTATGATTTATATTGTTTATGTGCATTAAAATTTCCAGATGGCTACATGAAGAGCAAAACATAGTAGCTATTTCTGGGAGGTAGGGACTTGAAACACTTATTTTACAGCTTTTTTACCATTTCAATATTTAGAAATCATGCACACTTGATTTGAGATTCAAACGCTAGGTTGAATCAAAATACCAAAGCAAAAAAAAAAAAAAAAACACAAATCTGGAAGTGCGACATCCCTGATTAACTAACGTCCTCTAGTGTCAAAGCCCTGTGATGTGAAGGTGCTGGCAAGGGGAGTTCTCTTGCTCAGTCCCTTTGTCTCATGGAACATTCTGGAAGGCTGCCAAATGGGCCCTGCTCTTTCAGAGGCTGGTGCAGCCATGCAGAGGATGTGCCTAGCCTGTGAGTGTCACCTGTTTTAATATTTGGAGGAAGGTGCTCTCAAATCTTCACCCAACTTACATTATCACTGTAGACCTTAAGTTCCTTGTCCACAGCCTCATCCATGATGCTGGCCCATTCATCCAAGGCTTTCAATTTGGAAGGCACATCGAGAGGAAGGTCATTGGAATGGAAAGCAAAATAGGAAAGAAATGGATTTATGACATTTACCCTTGTCCTTTAAAAAACATGCCTAAGTCATCCATGAGACTAAATAAATCCATTAAATTATCTAAAGTCCAACTTGGAAGTACTCATAAAATAGGAAYGTAAAGGCCAGTTTCGGTGGCTGACTTAAGGACGCAAGTGTGGTGTGTTTCTTGTGTCCAGTGAATGTCAGTCYGATCAAGTGATGTTTGAGGGAGTCCCAGCTGAAGTCAGGCAGGGAGCAGGCAGATGGCTGGGCAAGGCCCTGGGGTGAGTGGTTAGACTCACAGACAGACTGCCACAAAAAGCACAGTTTGCCTGGAGCTGGACATGAAGGAGGACAGAAGGGGAGTTAGAGAGCACACAGAGAGTCGAGGCCAGCCCTCAGAGGGCTTGGAAGGCGGTGGGAGGAACTAAAGGGAGATGATTTTTTTTTCTTGGAACTCTCACAGAATGTATCTGTCTTCCACCAGTTTTGTCATCCATCGCCTGTTTCTGGAAGGGTCTATGGTTTACAATCGCTGGTCAAAGCAGAAGAGAGGACTCCCCAGGCGAGTCAGTGAAAGTCTACCAGAGATAGCAGACGTCTTTGTTCTTCAAGGTCAGCTGTGGTGGGTGGCTCTCTGGGCCAGGAGAGCTGCCCAAAGCTTCCAGGGCAGTGGGGTGCAAATTGAATTGTGGGATCGATAATTACAACTTGACTCTCTCTTCCCTACTCCCTGGGAGGTGTGGCTTCTGAGGTGAGGGCTTGGGGGAAGTGGCTGTCACAAGATAATTGGGTCCCCAGGGAAATGACAGTGGCCTATTGCCTCAGCTTCTGGATGATACCTTCAAGYGGGGACATCCAGAGAGCCTTGAAAACCCACCAGGTTGGCACAGGGCTGACGGACTTGGTCTGATTTTGCATCCTCATTATGTCTTTGTGGGCAGAGAGGGGACATTCTTTGTGATCCCCACCCTCGTTAATTTTGCCCTGCTTCCCTGTTTGGTTCAGTAAGAAAAGCCCTGACTCTTCTGGGCTCCTGATGGGATGGGACAGAGAGTTCCACTGAGTGCAGCGACACAAGGCCCAGGGGCCTGGCTGTCTGCAAACCTCCCACGGCAGCCTCGGTCTGCACTGGATTCTGTCCACTTGCCACATCTGACAATACCCCAGCGGCCACACGTGGCACACACATCTCCGCCACTAGGGTATTTAATGTGACAGTGGCGATGTCTGCCGGGGAGAAGAGCAGGGGAGTTTTCAAAAGCCATTTAGGAAAATCCAACAAGGACCCACAGGAATTCAAGCAAGCCCTGGGGAAGCTCCCTGTGAGGGGCACCAGAGGAGTGACGTGAATGAACAGGGAGGACAGGGGTCTAAGAGACCAAGGTGCAAGCCACAAGTGTAAGGTGCTGCCTTCTGTGTGACTGCCCCGGAGTGGGCCTGGCTCTGGCCCTCACAGCTCAGCCAGAGCCCCATCATTTGTGAGGGCTATATTTTAATAGGCTTTATTGAGTAATGCACAGTTAATTTGAGGAAGGAAAAGTGGGTGTTTATCCAGGAAGGAGGTGAAATTGGCATTTCTGAATGCCGAACAGTAGTGCTCAGAAGCCTTCGATTCAATGTAATAATTAAGCTTATTAACATCCATGGGCTTTGTCAACATGGCAAGTTAAGCATGGCAAATAAGCAGTAGCAGAGCTATAACTGGAATTGAATGAGAAGAAAACGATTTCTAATTTACTGACCCTTTGGGGATCCCCTCCCATCTACTTCTGCTCTGGTGAGATCATTATCTTCCTGAAGTGGCTTCACAGAGCATGGGGAGGTGTCAGATTAGGTTCAAGTGGTAGCTCTGTCTTATGAGACCTGAGCCACCTCTGGCATACCACCCATCCTTCTTGYACCCTAGCTCCTCATCTGTGCAATGGGCACAGTAAGACTCATCTTGAGGGTGGCTCAGAGTATCAGTGCTAATGTGGGTCAATGCCTGGCACACACTCTGCGCTGAATGGAGTCTTTTTCCTGGTCTGATTATGAACAAATCTTAATTCTTCCTCACTCAAAGTGCCTCTTCTCTGAGAGTGATTTTGCATCCTCATTAAGCTTACTTAACACAATGGCACTTCCTGAATTTAGGATAAACGTTTGAGCCGTTTGTATTTGCCCTGATAACAATAGTCCCCATGTTACAATGACAAAAATTCTTTGCTTGAGGCTCCTGAGTCTTCTAGGCCTGTCTGTGTACTTCCTCGCAAAATCCAGTTTTAGCAAAAACCCTGCTAAACCACTTTAGTAGGAACCCCCTACCCTCAGGATCTGACCATTATAGGTATCTGATCACGTTCCTCAGCTCTTCCAGCTCCCAGTGATGTCTGATTACTTTGGCCTGTCTCATGCTTTAACAAATGCCATTAAATGATTTTCTCTTTGACAATAGATGAAGAAAAGGAGGAGAGAAGTGAAGTGACTAGCCCAAGGGCCAGCTCTGAGAAATGAGCAATCAGCACAGATTAACAAGCACCCAAGTGAAACTCAATACTCTTTTCACCCCATGCACCCTTCATGTGATCTTGTTGACCTAGGCAGGTGGGACACCAGTTGGGCTTCCCATTGTGACATGCACAAATCCTTAAGCTGTTCTAAAGTCTGGCTACCCAAAATGTGATTGGTGGATTAGCARTAGCTTCTGGGAGCTGCTTAGAGAGGAAGAATATCAGACCTACCGACTCAGGATCTGCATTCACACAAGGTCTCCAGGGGACTGCATTGTGCATTAACATTTTAGCAGCACCTCTCTAGAACATCCTTGGAAATGGAACAAGACAGAGAAAACTGTATTCAGAAGTACCTTCTGGGGTTGCAGAGATGTGGGTGGCATGCATAGTCCAGAATTCGAGTCTGTTTGATAAGTCATGGGGATAGGGGGTAGAATTATGTGTGTGTGTGTGTGTGTGTGTGTGTGTGTGTGTGTGTGTGTAAGAATACCCCTAAGTTTCATGCTCCAGTACAACAGGTAATAGTTCTTAAACTGTTTCCTTATGAGGACTGTTTCCTTATGAGGATGGGTCTGGTTCCTGTGGGCTTTTGTTTTGTGGTGGTGCTGTGCAAGTTGGAATTCTGCACCATAAGGATTCTCCCCTGTCCTTCCCCTCTAGAATTACCAGACATGCCTTAATAACWTTTAATAAAGCTTTAATAAATCTTTAAAAAATTTTTAGGAGTTCTAAGTTATTTGCTACCAAGGTGCCACTGGATGAGTCTATCTGAGGGTGCACACACCGCAGTCAAGTCCTGCTTTCTAGACCTCAGGGGACCCAACAATAGCCTGAACCATCTTTTAATGTAGAGGCTCTTGTTCCAGAGCTTTTAGGTATGAAGATGAGCTTCAGGGCCTGTCCCATCATTCTGTCTTCCTCATTTCTTGTTTTGGGGGTTCTGAGGCTGTGTGCCCAGAATGTCCGCAGGTCCTTCTAGGACTTAACAAGCAGGACAGCAGGTCAAACAGCAAGGGAACCATTCACCTGGGACACTTTCCCCAGCCTAGGAGACTCTGCAGGAAGATAGATTTTGATGGACACTTACAAGCTATATCCGCTGGCTGCAATCCAGAGACAACATTCACTGAAAAAAAATGGGCAACATTATGAACAGGWTGTATGGTATGGTGAACTAAATGGGACCCTTTAATCCCCAAGAGAATCAATTTTAAAATCACCTCCTAAATCGCAGGGGGAACAGAGTGGAGACCACATGATTKGGAATAAGAGACTTCCTTGATCTTGAGCAGGTCAAGGCCTGTGGCCTATGCTCACTAAATAGTCTCTTGACCACTAGAGTTTAAATTCTGAGAGKGTGAGATGGTTTTTTCTATTTTTATATCCTGTCCAGTATATATAGGTATACAGTTAATGTCATTGAATGAACTGCATATGGATAGTTCATTATTTTCCCTCCTAACTCCAGTCATAAATGTTGTTTCCTTCCTTTTCAAAATGCCATAGCAATTGCCTCTTTGGTTCAATGTCTTATCTGAGCCTTGATCTTGACACTAAGTTYCAAAGATAGTGCCTTGGCCATTGGCCTTGATCAAGGCTGCCTCAGTCTGCCGTGATCAAGCAGGTTCTGCTTGGCTGGGAGCAGGCTAACTCTGTGGATGGATAAGTAACTACTACAGGTCATCAAAACCATTACAAATTGTACCTTCTGAATAAGAGCTCATGGAGGTGTCTTCATCTGGTTTTATTTCAGGCTTCATAAAAACTGATAAAAGGAAAAAGAAAACAGAAGAAGATGGAGCATTACARTTTTAATCATGCTTTCCCATGGGCTCATGTTGGACATTTGGGATCTGAGGTTCTCTCCGGGCTCATCAAGGAAGGGGAAGAACCAGGGCTGATGGGCTCCATGGRCATGGATTGGGTACTCCCTCTGCCCCTCTTGGTCTCTGGGAACAAGGACTGCCATAAATCAGTGGTGGAAAAGGTAACCTCTCTCTGGCTTTCCCCTATGGTCACTGTGGGGCTAGTCTGGGTCCCCAGGGTCTCTAGGATGGCTGGGGTTGGGGGCAACCTTAAAAATACCCTTCCTGCTATGGAGTCAGCTGGCACCAAGACCGTGGGGACACACAGTAGGGTGTGACCTATCATGGTAGCAAGTGGGCATCTCTGGCATTCTTTGCCAAGAGCTTTCTCAGAGGTGCATAATGGGGGCTGGCTGGGAAACATGGTAGTGGGGACTGACTGATATCAATTGGTTGAGTTAGCCCTGGGAGGCTACTGTGTGTTTTTTTTTTTTTAAAAAAAACTTTGTAAGTTCTTGGTTATCCTTGTTCTGTGTTTTCCGTGATTTTGTGATCCTAGCTCCTTTTATCCTTTGCCCCATCCTACCTCCTCTTTGTACTCCCAAACACATGTGGACACATGGGTGTACACACACACACACACACAAGCACACACGCGCACACACACACACACACAACCTACATTTCATTCTTAGGAGTAGTAGAGAAGCAGGTCCTAACAAAAAAGTGAAAGTGAACTTTCATTTCATTTGCCTTATGTCTTATAATGCCTCAAAACCCAGAAACATGATTCAATTATTTTCATTCTATAATCTGCAGAATATTTTATCTAGGGTTAACTAGTCTCTTCTGATTTTCCCATCAATCCTTGGTTTCTGAAACTTCCTACCTGATTTTGTTGCATTCTTTCCAATCTGAAGATAATTTACTTTCACAGTGAAGTGAAAATTCAACAGCCACTGAAGAACTTGACTTTCTCTGCATCACTCATCCACGCTGTGTCAAAGGTGGCTCTGCCTTAACCTTTTTGGTCCAATCACATTTTCAAAGTCTTTTGTTGCCTCCTGTATTCTCTTTAGTATTATAATTATTATTTTTTGGTAAGAATGTTTATCCTGGGATTCAGCTTTCCTGACACTCAAAGTTCAGAATCATTTTTCTACAATTCTTTGTCAGGAACATCCTCTTTGCTGTAACTTCTTCACTTGATCTTTCAAATCCAAGTTCTCTAAAGGAAAATCTGTGCTTACACACTCTTTGCACTTTGGGGAGCTTTTCCTCTTCTCTGTCTTGCCAGGTGGCTTAAAGGATCACTTGCCCCCCACTTTCATTTAGCCTTACCTACTTTTCTATACATATAGTGTCTCTGATTATAGCCCCTTTTCTACCAAGACTATTTATTTGGACAGGATGTACCTTTTTATATCCATTATCCAATCTTGAATCAGAGGAGGAGTTCAACAACAATTTCAAAAGTATTTAACAAATATTTATAGGTGCTTCCTATGAGCCAGGCACTAAATCTGGAGGATTTCTGTGAGCATGGATATAATGCTTGGTGTTGTAATTCCTGTTCTCCTTTGTTTATGATCCTGCTTTGTATCTAGATAGATGGACACGTGGGGCCATAAATAGTCCTTCTGGTTCTCCCGAATGCCTCCTCATATGGATCACAAGGTATTTCCTGTACCTTTAGCATTCTTTCCCCATCAGACCTGCCACCCTCTCGAGTAATAGCTTTCAAGGATTTATCTGGGTAGATTTTGCTCCATATTGAGCTCACAGTCCTGTTGTGCCATGTAAAACTCTRTTTCTGACCCACTGGGGTTGAACAATCCCATAATGAAAAATGCTTTGGAAACAGGAGACTGACACCCACAAAATTCACCTTAAGCTAGAGTTCTCAGTTCTCTATCAGTTGTGTTCCCCAGAATTCTCTGGAGATCTTGTTAAGAAGGAAGATTTCAAGTCCTTGCAGGCAGGGATTCTGATAAAGGCTGGGCGGCCGTCTTTGCAAGCATCTCGTGGTGTGGCTGTGCAGACCCAGGCCTCCTGGAGCAGCCGTCTCTTGCTGCTGTGGCCTTGCACTACCAGCTCTTTAGGTTGCTTTTTTGTCATGGTCTCCTGTGTTTCTCCAACAAATACATGGGTGCTTTCTGCCCTGATCTTAAAGCAGATTCCTTTTTGTGTCTGCTACTCTTAGGATTCCTTAATACACTGACAGAGTGCCCTTTTCCTCCCCTCCTCTTGACTTTGAGACCCTTGACCTTCCTGGGACCCCATGCTTCCTGGCTGCATCCCCTGCCCTTCCTACAGTGTTTGTACCACTAGCTGGAAGATGGATGTTCCTCCTCAGTGCTCCCTGGATACATAYTCTGATGAGGTAAGACCTGGAACCATTTTGAAATCGGTATGTAGAACAGCTTGGCAGGAAACACAGCTGGCTGGCTCGCCTGCAGCCTTCCCTGTCTTTRAGCCTGGATCACAGGTCTGGGGTCCCTGACCCAGGAGGCTGGGAGGCTGGAGATGGTCTACTCCTTCCCATGGCATTATTCAACTAGCTTGGCTTGCTGGCCCATAAACTCCTGCCTTTGAGGCAGTGACCCAGGCTCTGAGAACTGCTAAATATACCTGTGCCTTGTCATTCCATCATACTGGCTCCATTCCACAGACTAGACATAATCACGAACCTATTACCACCAAATCTCTCCAGAACGATGAATTATAAGCCACAGGCAGAAGGGGAAAGAAATTTCCATGAGTTTTAGGGACTTGCTTTTCCTTATGTTTTGATTTCTGCTGTAGTGATTGTAAGAGCAAAAGGCAAGGCTTTCCCTCACCCTCTGAAGGTTCACAGTCAGGAAGTGACTATAGACACACCCAAGAGAAAAGAGCCACAAACTTCTCATGCACAGAGATCACAACATGTAACCCCTAGTCCATGATTCAGAAACTTGCTTACCCCCGTTTCCATAGAGGGGCAGATGGGGAACGTAGACAGTCTCAAGAGGAAACTGTTTCTAGGGGTATATTGTTTCTAGGGGTACCCAGTGGGCTTGGAGAAACACTGTGGCCTGGGACAAAGTCCTTGGGGCCTGCAGAATAGACAATGGATTGTAAATGGTTCTCTTTGGAATGTTGAATGAGACCAAAATAGAAGACAATGGTGTATGACAAAAGTCTGTCAGGTGAGTTGACAGACTTCAGCCTCTCTTCCTGCAGAGTTTAGCTAATGAAGGTTCAYGGAAGGGACCAGAGGGAATTGTTCTCTTCCTCAGAGGGTCTGGATTCAAGGCCAATATGGYGGCATCATGGCCAAGGCTCTACTGCACCTGCTGCTCTCTAAGTTCCTGTAACGTAAAACAATCAGCATACCAGAGTGCTACATGTTAGGGTGACCTTCCCTGCACTCCTTCATGACCTTCCCCCAAAGCAACTGCAGGAACTTGGGTGTGTCATTGTGCCCTACTTGGAGGTTCCAACACTGTCCACACCTTTGTCTCAGGCTGCCAATGTCCTAGTATTTGATCAGTAGACATTAATGATGGGAGGCCTGACTTTTACTAGACACTCAACCTGTGTTGGCTTTAAGGGACTCAGTTTTGGTAGGACAGACGGCTGTGAAACTTGCCTGTCCAGATCAAATACATGTGGTACTTACAACCTAAATTAAATACAGACAACCTAAATTAAATACTAGGCTTAAATACAAAAGGGTCATGGGTGAACACAGCACATAAAGCAATGGTCTCAGCAGGGTCTCTCTGGGGTGGGTTCACAGTGGTAGGTTCAGGCCTGAGTCTTTTCTTCCCACATCCAGCCTCATTCTTCCCCCTCTCTCCTCTCTCACATCCTTTCGAGCTTAGCATTGGCACTTCATAGGCAATTACTCAGGAAATGACTTTCAGAGTCCTGCTTACGAATTTCTAGATGAATGCTCAGATTTCCCCCAGCTGTCATGCTTCCTGATTTTGAAATGATTCCAGTTCTTGGGCTTCACCAGGGCATACATGCTGACACAAGTTCCAACTGAAACCATTTAGCCTGTAAAACACTCCTGGTCAGGCACCGGCTCATTTGGGCCTGTCCTCGGCCTCTCCATTCTTCCTTAAAGGGTTTCTGGCTCCTAATTTCATTTAACCATATTTGAGCTACAAAATTTAGCAGGCACAGTTGGGGGCAGGGAGGTGAGGCAACCAGGGAATCTAATTTATTGCTGYCATGACTACAGATGTGAAATAAATCTGTGAATCAGTGATGGATCGATCCCACTAAGGCCAGACTTAAATGATTAATCATGGTGAGGAATGCTGTTCAGTCTTCCATCCCCAGGACCCTAAGTGGAGGGCCTTTGGGCTTAATTGGATGGAGAATTAAGACCCCCAGTGCAATCTTGCTGAACCCTCTCCTGTGTGTCTCCCAGTTGTAGCTATGGAAGTTCATGGTACAGATGGTTTTGCCTGGTTCAGAGTCAGGGCTGGCTTCGACCGCACGCTGAGACAGAGTCTGAGGTGACTTTAGTCGCTTTCGCTGTTCTCATGATTATCTGGATATGGCCTATCGCACCGGGGAACCTGTCTCTAATCTGGGAAGGAAATGGCCTGTGTCCCGGAGGGAGAGATTTCCTGTTCCACGTAGAACGAGGACAGGAAGACTGATGAGCTACAAGGGAGGAGACTGAGGGAGGGCATCTGTTTCAGCGCAGAGGGAGCCTGGAACGGGTGGAAGGGGTGGCAGTGCTCATGGAGACATTAACTTCTTTTGCATATATGACGTGGGATGACCCGGGGAGCAGGGTCACACCATTAGCATGGGACACAGTCCCCCAGGCACAGGAAACACTGTGAGCCCATYCTTTCCTGAGCCTCAGGGAGCCTGGTGATGGGACCCCAGCAGGGTACAGCCTTCCTTACCCAACCTGCTTTCGTAGGCCCATTTCGTCTGACTGGCCTGGTGTCTTATGGAAACCTCGGCTTGTTCCGAGTCGGCAGAGACAGTGGCAGAACGTGGGACACCATGATAAAAGGTAGCCTGAGAGGTGCTGGCCATTGGGCTCCTGTCAGAGGGGAACACAGGGGTGGTCAGTTTCTTTCTTTTTCTTTTTTTTTT